CTTTAGCAGCAATATCTGACTCCCATATTTACTTCTCAATTGATTTAAAACTTGATTCAGAACTCTGGAGGAATATAACCCTTTAAAACTTTAAGAGAAAGCACAGATCATATGAAGTTCAATGTCAGACACTGTACGAGACGCTCTAAAGGAAACTGGAATTCAACAAGGGACATTAACATGTAAATAATCTAAGCAAAGCAGACTGGAACAAATGCCAACCAGAGATTTCAAGCAAATGTTGTTGTGATGCCAAGTGGGAGGTGCGGAGAAGGGGGTGGGGACAGCAGCCCAGGGCATTCAGGGCTGGGTTTCTGAAAGTCCTTTGATGGATGTTGTAACCAGGCCCTGGAAGAAGACCCGGAACCATCCCTGCCTTTCAGGGTTCTTCACGTGCCAGCAGGCAGGCTTCGTTCCTCAGGGTCCCCACGCACTTGAGGATGAGGAGCCAATGGCCAAGCCCCACCTAAATCCACTCTACCAGCAAGGGCTGCAGTTCCAGGAGCCTCTAGACAGGCTAAAGAGCGGTTCACCATACTTAGCTCATTCTGAATTCTGACTCCAGAAAAACAGAACACGTGCATGTGAGACGAGGAAAAGGACAAAGGGTGAAAATGGAACAGAAGTTGGAAGCAGTTTGGTGATTAAGAAAAGTTTTGACTCCAATTTGAATATATGTTGTTTGTGTCTAGGGGGAAAAAGCGCAACCAGCCTGAAGCTTTGATCTTAATCAGAGGTTTACAAGAGTAGATGCTTGGCGTGCCTAAGCAACATCTTCTGGCCAGGGGCAATCCTTCATGAACTGAGGAATGGCAGGTGTCCCACCAGGGACCCATCATATCACGTATCACAGACTGAGCCTCTGTTAGTTGACATCCATAGGAATTGAAGTTTAAATGCCTATTCTTAAAATAGAAGGCATACAAGTCACAGGCTTATGCGCACCTCCCAAAGATCCTATTTTTGTGGTCCCTGTGTGGCAGAACCAAGCCAGAAAGTTGTCCTGAAAAGGTTGGTTCTCAGGACTCCCTCATTAACCCACTGAACACTCAGGTTAGAATTCAGCCAAGGCACTCCTGCAGCGCGTTCTGTCGGTCACACATTGGCCTCCCCCAGGCCAGGAACAATTCAAGGTCATTTACTGTCTTGCTCCTTCTTTTTATAATCCAGCTCTTCATACTGTGTCTGGCACATAACCAGTGCAACATAATTTTTGTTAAATGAGATAAATGAACAGAGGGACCTAACAACCAGATTCCAACATGACTTGATTTCTGTCTTCTAGTTTGAGAAAGGTATACCATCACACTTCAATCAATATGTTCGAGTGTTAAATACTTGGGGGGTGGGGAAGTCTCAACCAATTTTTGTATATATGTGTACACACACTTCTATCAGATTCTTATGTATGATGAAAACTTAGGAGTAAGATTTTAACCTCACTAGAAATTCAGCAAATTCTTATGAGCAAGGTACGAGATGAAAGCCCCATCACTGTCCTCAGAATGTAATACTCTCTCACCCTGACCCCGATCAGTTCATTGCTTCCTGTTTTGTCCTGCACACGTCAACTGCTAGAAAACTTCCAGTAGCTCTAGTTGTACCCCCGCCCAACTTTATAACCTGTTTCATAAACAATGTTGAAATGAGGGGAAAAGAAAAAATTGAACTATAATAAAGAAAATGCTAAGTACTTTAAAACTGGTAAAAAGTGCTTATAATTTAGGAGAGAGAGAGATTACAAAAGAATTTTGTGTATTAATTAGCATTCATGGAAAAGGTAAACTTTGAGCTGGACTATGAAGAAGCAGCAGGCCTTTGACAACTATATCTTTTGAAGAATGATTGTTCCATGAGGGAACTGTATGCACAAAGGAGCAAAAATTCAGAGACTGTGTATTTTTAAAATATATGTAAATGAATAATGAAAAATAAAACTGAAAAGATAAAATTGGAATATTGTAAAGATTTCAAAGTAAAGAATCTGGGCTTAATCAAATGAACATTAGGAAACTTGTACATTATTTTGGCCTAAACTGTAACGAGTCTAAGTTTAGGAAAAGTAATCTGGCAGGATGGATAAATAAGGGGAGACAGTGAAATTCGGATGTAAGATAACCAGGTAGGTGTGAGACTATTAAGGGAATGAAAAGGGGTGTGTTAGAACAAATAAAAAAAGCAGACCTGCCCAAAGGTGGCATATACTCTAAAGAATTAATTGGACAAACACAAGGAAAAAAATCCACATGAAAATGACAGTAAGAAACAAGTCCACTTAGTAAGACATAGATTCAGTGGGCGCCTGGGTGGCTCAGTCGTTAAGCGTCTGCCTTCGGCTCAGGTCATGGTCTGAGTCCTGGGATCGAGTCCCACATCGGGCTCCCCGCTCAGCGGGAAGCCTGCTTCTCCCTCTCCCACTCCTTCTGCTAGTGTTCCCTCTCTCTCTCTGTCTCTATCAAATAAATAAATAAAATCTTTAAAAAAAAAAAGACAGATTCAGTGAATATAAGGCAAACAGCAAAAAGTTTTAAAAGAATTTAAGCAGAGATGATTAAAGAAATGGAATAATGAACATCATTTCAAATTAATTGATTTCAAATTAATTTATTCACTACTGACCACCTATTAAGTGCCAGGCACTTGTAAAATAGGATCTTGGCTCCACAGTACTCACATTCATTTTGATTCATGACCGAAACTTGAAAAAAATTAAAAGAAAATTAAACATGTACACATTATAAAAATGTTTTAGTGGAAAAAAGCTTGGTTTTAAAATCTGATGCCATAAACATACTTCAAACATGAGCACAAGTTAGTATCATACAGAGCTCCCTGTACTAGTTAAGAAGACTCTAAAAGCTACAAGAGATAAAAACTTCATACACATTCTTGAATAAAAGGAACCAAATGAGTTTCTGTGCACCAAGAAATTCATAAACATATTGAATTATGGGCTTTTAAAATAAGTACACACACTAGATACAAATTCTGTGGCAGGGCAACCTGACTTATTTCAGGGATGAGTCTGCTATACCTTATTTCATGGACAATTCTACCATACATAAAATCAGACTAAGGGTTTAACATTTCTCTAAGCTTTTCTAAAGTTTCTAAATAGAAAAAGAAAAAAACGATGAAGTTATCTGTTAAAATGTTAACAGTATTTACCTCTGGAAGATGAGATTTTGAGTTTTTCACCTTTTCTTACTATTTCCTACAATAGGTATTTTTGAAATCAGAAAAAGCCAAAAAAAATTAAGATTACCCATTTTCAGTATTACATACTGAATGCTAAGGAGCTTCTAATTGTGAATGAAAATTGTAGGATTTTAAACATGAATTAACACTCCATGGACAAATCTTTGAAGAAATCCTGAGTACTACAGCCTAGAGACTTCATGGGCATCTGAAAACTGCTTTAAGCACATGACTGGATGTAAACAAGCGATTACATATAAATCCTGCATTATTTTGGACAAATTTGGATCCTGAGTTGAAGATTCACGTAACCAGATTTTGAATTAAAGTATCTAAAAATGGACAGTCTATCAAATCATGAGCTCCTCCATGTAGAGGACTTAGCTATTATGCAGGTAGTTGAACAAAATGGAAGTTTGAGTGAAAGGCAGGGTGCTACAGGGTGTTTGGGGTCACAGCCCTAATCTGATTCCCAGCTCCCAACATTTAGTAACTATCATTTACTCAAGCAGGTCATTTAACCTCTGAACCTCAGCTTTCTCATCTATAAACTGAAGACAACACCTACCCTACAGAATTATCATGATGATCAATACTAATGCATAAGCCCGGCACACAGTAGATGCTCAAAACATGAAGCTTGGTTACTTTTATACACTCACACCTACTCAAGATCCAGTGATTCTGTGATTAAAAGCAACAGGATTTAAATTAGTTTAACTTGGTGAGATAACAGAACTAAAAAGTAGTATATCTGGAAAATTAGTCTTTCCTTATCTGTATACTGACTGTTAACACCTGGCACGAGAACACATTCCTTCCCCAAAATAAGATCAGCACTGCTGCTCTGCCTGGGCCAAGGAAACCGACACAGAGAACACAAGAAGAGTAGAAGACAGAAGATAGGAAGGCAGAAGAGAATAAAGATCTGGGCCCAAAACGGGAAATCAATACTATTGCCTTTATCCAGGTAAACAGACTTCAACAGAAGAAATAAATGTACCAGAAATGTTAGGATTTCTAGTTTTAAGACAAACTTCATTTGCAGGGGACTCAACTAGCTCAAAATTACAAAACTGGTATTCAATAAATACCCATCAACTGATATTTACACATTTTACTTCCTAACCTAAAGCTCTTTATAAAACAGGCTAAGTTGGAGACTGGAATACTACTGTAAAAGCTGTACGATCATCAAAGCATTTTTGTGTATTTTGTTCCTGAATTAAGAGGTATATTTAATTCCATTACATGAGCTCAAAACAGTATTATAAAATCAGAGATCTTACCAGGAATATTCCATGCCCTTTTCACTCATCCATACCTACCCTCAAGCACTTCGGAAAGAAAGAATCCACCCATTTACACCAAAGACAACCACTTCGTGCATAAAAAAGGCAAGGAAAAGGCTAGTCACGAGGCATATCAAGAATGAGGCAACCCCATGAGGGCAGGGACTTTTGTCTATTGTTCACTGTTGTCTCCACAGCCATCTAGAACCTTACCCAGGATGTAGTAGTTGCTCACTAAATACTTGCTGACCGAATGAATTATTCCTTGAAGAAATAACTTTGGGAAACCAAAATTATTTTCAGTGTTGTTTTTCTTAAGGCTTGGAAGAGTTCTATTATTTTTTCCCCCAACTACCCTAATGGAAGAATACTTCAAAAGAAAAAAAAAAAGAGGTTTTCTTTAGAAATATACACACAGACATGCATGCTTATTTGTATTTATAGAGAAATACATAATGACTATATTGCCCAAGTTGAGCCAAAAATAGATAACCCTGGAAAAAACCTCCCATAAAACACTGTTTCAATATAATTTTATTAACAGTTATTACATCAAAATTCACATTTACAGGATCCAAAGGACTGTCTTAGAAAATTCTAAAGTATGTGTAGTAAGATTTCAACAGTAAGACAGAACATATTCTCATTATAGCACAGCCCTTAAAAAGTCAAGAATAATACTGAGAAATAAGTGCAGTTCTATCAAGAACTAGAAATGAACTCTTCGTGCATAGTGTCACTTAAAGCAAAGTCCCATGGAAGTATAATATACCTCTATGGATGTGAATTTCAGCGGCAAACATCATTGGCTTCCAAACAACTGACACTAAAGGAATTTCCAATCAAAACACAAGCACAGTGGCTTTCATCCAATATAAAGCTATGATAATTCTATAAAGAGACCCTGAATCCTTAAGTACATGTAATATGATTTTATGCTGTGACACTAGTACAAAACACATCAACTCTAATGCATAGTTTCGGACACATTATGACAACAGAATACTAAAGATAGCCTTTTTCTAGATCAGAAAATGCTGAGTTTTCCAGTGTAGTATACGCTGGTCATTGCTGATCTAGTGAAATTCTACATCCTCCAGCTTGAGCAGTATTGTAGGAATCACAAATATTACATTTCATGCCTAATATATGGAACTGGACTGTAGATCTCCCATTGCAATCATTGCAGAGAATCTGAAAAGTGAAGAGATGAATTCAAATTAAGTATATTAAACCTTATAGATGGAAAATGGCATTGTCTGCTCAGAACAGTTCCTCAAAAATCATACCGAAGAATTGAAACACATATAGCTAAGTCTAAACATTTCCCTCAATAGAAATGCCTTTTATTCATTTTCTGAAAACTCTCAGAGGCTATTAAGGTAGCTTTGAATTTAGAAGATGAAAGTGTAGGTTTGAGTCAAGAAGTCTTATTTTAAAACTGTTCCCAAATAGTATAAATAGTACTGAGCATAAAACCTAACATAGGCATAATCTGATTGACACCTATACTTAGAATTCAAAATAACATACATGATTTATTTTTTCCTTGACACCTACAAATTATCTTAACAAAACAAATCTTTACATAATTTTAATATTTTTGCTTATACTTTAAGTTTAATATACTAAGTTCTTAATGCCTCAGGAATGAATCAAAGCCCAAAAAAGTAGTTCCTAATTTAATAAAAAGAAGCTTTTGGCATATCCCTAAAATGACAGTAAGATGTCACTTGGGAATTAATCTCTTCTAGTACTGAGATCCCAAAAAATAAAAAAGGTGTTAACCTGAAAATAGATCAATGCATTACTATGTGAGAAAAGCTTTAGCTTTAGAAGTCATACCCATAATAAATAGAAAACTTCCAAATTTGCTCAAAATTATAATCTGGAAAATTAAGAATACAATCTGAATGTAGAAAGATTAGTGATTGCCTAGAGCTAGGGGGTTGGGGAATGGCTGCTAATGGATATGGAATTTCTTTTGGGGCCAATAAAAATATCCTAAAATTGATGGTGGTGATGTCTGCACAACTCCAAGAATATACTAAATAGCACTAACCTGTACACTTTAAATGGACAAGTTACATGGCATATAAATTTTATCTCAATAAAGCTATTATTTGAAAAAATTATCTACATGGAACATAGCACACTGAAGCCTGTAGTAAAACATCACATAATTATCAATTAGTATTCTAAAAGTGATCCTTCATTGACCTTACTAGCAATTCAATTATCCACATGAATAAAAAGGGTAATGAACATTAAAAAGACAAAAGTAATCTTCTTCAAAAATCAACAAATACATATGCCTGAAATAAAATTTAAAATAATTACAAATAAAACATAATTAAAATAAAACATCAGACTAGTAATTCACCTCCACTCAGTTACATTACTGACTGGCTCTGACGAGAAAGGTGTAAATAATTCAGAATAAAGTTTTTGCCTGCCATCTAGTGTTGGGAAGAATTGCATAAAGGTATTCTTAGTATTTTTTTGGTCTGGTCCTGAATTCAAAGTAACTAAAATCAATTATTTGGTCCTTTCCATTAATCATCACATTGGTGTCTATGCCAAAGCAGTATTTTTTAAACAGATTTGAGCAAAAAGGCAAAAATAAACAAGAACATCAACCAGGAACCTAAAAAGTTCTAAGCACGAATTATACTCACATCCACAGTCATGTTCTGATACTCTGATGGCATAGGAGTCTGTGCTACCTCATCATCCAGCTGTCTCCAGTACCGAGTCATATCTAAAGCAGAGTGCATACATAATGGACATCTGTAGCCTCTAGAAGAGACAGAAATGTTATCTTCCAAACATTAAACAAGGAGTATATCAACTCAGGTATACAAGAAGATGCATGCTAACTGGTACATAACCCATCCAAAACATCTTGAAATTCTGTATTTCAAGATGACCTGTTACAAACCTGGGAACTTTTACACTATAGTTTCTAATTAAATCCTGTAACCTATGGTATTTTTTACACCTTCTTCTTTTTCCTCAGTTCTCTAAAGTGAGAAGGAATTAGTCCATATTCTTTGTAGGATGTATTTAATATATTTTTAAATGAAGTTTTTTTTTTAAAGATTTTATTTATTTATTTGACAGAGAGAGACACAGCAAGAGAGGGAACACAAGCAGGGGGGAGTGGGAGAGGGAGAAGCAGGCTTCCCACGGAGCAGCGAGCCTGATACGGGGCTTGATCCCAGAACCCTGGGATCATGACCTGAGCTGAAGGCAGACGCTTAACAACTGAGCCACCCAGGCACCCCTTATATGAAGTTTTTTATTTTAAGTAATCTCACACCCAACATGGGGCTCGAACTCACAACCCAAGACCAAGAGTCACATGTTCTTCCAACTGAGTGAGCCAGGCATCCCTATATTTAATGTATTTTAAAAACCTGTTCATCATGGAACACTACATCAAAAACTAATGACATAATGTATGGTGACTAACATAATAAAATAAAATTAATTTAAAAAAAAACCTGTTCAGCTGCTTTTTTTAGCTAATAACCTCAATTTCTTAATATATTCAGACAATTCAGATTGTATCATTTTCTTTCTAAAAATTCTGAAAAATTCCCTTCTAACTGGCTCTTAAATTAAAAGTTCTGCTTACGAATTTGCAGGACCAAAATACATTTACACAGTCTCTTCTCTCCTATTTTCATTTCATTTCAACATCCTTCCCCCACAATAAAGTCTCTGCTTTAGATAATCTTGCTACCAGCTTTCTTTGCAGATGATTATCCTGGGCCAATATAATGATTTAACAGAATTTTGAGCGACATGCCTCAGCATTTTTACAGCGCTATGGATTGCCTTTGGCAGAGCCTGTGCCCCTGGTAAGCACAGCCAGAAAAGAAAAGGTAGCTCTTGTGAGTTGTGGTATGAAATAAGGCATAATATAAGCCTGGGGACAAAGATGCAGTCCTATATCCACAAGATGCTTTGCCCAATTTAACACTATTCATTTACCCTACCCATCTCAAGATAAATATCTGCCATGCCAATAAGATGTAAGTATCAGCAATGTTTGCCCACTTCCACATCCCCGCGCCAAAAAAAAAAAAAAAAAAATCAGACATCTTACAATTATAACTTCTAAAAATCCCATCACTCACTCTTTCAACATTTCTTCATAACACGTTCTGAAAAAAAATATATGACACTATTTTAGTAAAGCAAAAAGCATCTCCACTATTTTCAAACACTTCTGAGGAAAAAAAAGAATTACTTTACCTATGTAAAAGATGTCCACATGGCAAGACATGAGCAACAACACGGGATGTGTGAATGTCCTATAAAGGAAATAAATGTTAGTGTTTGCATGAAGACAATATAAACATCCAAGTACTTTAAATTCAAGAGGGAATATTTTCAAAAAAATGAAATCTTGCCATTTCCAACGATGTGGATGGAACTAGAGGGTTTTATGCTAAGCGAAGTAAGTCAATCAGAGAAAGACAATTATATGATCTCACTGATATGTAGAATTTGAGAAACAAGGCAGAGGATCATAGGGGAAGAGAAGAAAAAATGAAACAAGACGAAACCAGAGAGGGAGACAAACCATAAGAGACTCTTCAATCACAGGAAACAAACTGGAGGGGAGAAGGGTGGAGGGACGGGGTAACTGGGTGATGGACACTGGGGAGGGTATGTGATGTAATGAGCACCGGGTATTATATAAGATGAATCACAGACCTGTACCCCTGAAACAAATAATACATTATATGTTAATTAATTGAATTTAAATTTTTAAAAAATTTAATCTTAAAAGATGGAGTATGTTTTAAAGTTCGTAACGCCTCACAAATTTGCTACTCCCGAATTTTTTTTAATTATTAAGTTATATTAAATAAATAGTAAATAAATAACTATATCTAAATATTAACAATATTATTTTAATTTTTTAAGTAGGCTCCACGCCCAACTTGGGGCTTAAACTCACGACCCTGATATCAAGACTTGCATCTCCACAGACTGAGCCAGCCAGGCACCCCTTTATTGCAATTTCAACATGACTTTTGCTAAGAAAATATTATTTCTCTCTCTTTAGATGTCCTCAGGATTTCTGGAGAATAAATGGAATGTAATTAAAAAAAAAGAGAGAGAGAGAGAGGGAATATTTCCAAAGCAAATATTTTAAGCTTACCTCCAAACATATTGGACAATTCTGCCGGGAAACATTTTCAATACACTGTTTAAAAGAGAAACTCAAGTTACTAAAAGCTTAACTAGATGGAAATGACAATGCATATTAACAGAAACTAATGGTAACGAAAACAATGATACTAACTTAGTAAAGATAATAATTAACATTAACACATGTCTCTTAAATGTCAGATAGGAACTGAACAGTTAACTCACACAACTATTTCAGGCTTTGCACATTACCTGAAACAATGAAATTACACAAATTATCTTCATTTTACAAGTAAGGAAAATCAGTTAATCAAGATTTACCAAAGATGCAGAGGTAATAACGTTTGGAATCTTTTTAGTTTACATGTGTTTTGTTCCAAAACTACTTAAGGATATCGACAATGATAACGGTTCATGTTACTGAAGTTTACTACATGCCATATATTAAGTACATTACCTGCATTAGCTCAATCAAGTCCCACAACTATAAATGCAGGTACAATTATCACCCCATTTTACAGATGAGGTATTTGAGGCCTAGAGAAGCTCAATAACTTCAAATGCAGTGGAACTGCATTTGAGCTCCAATAGGCTGCCTCCAGTGCCAGAGCTCTTAACATGATAAGACAGGGTGATTAAATGCGGAAAGGTAAGGGGAAGCACCAAGCCATGAATGATGCCCAGGTTTTTTAAGTGAGCACCTGAGTATATGATAGAACCATTTACTAAAATACAGACAATAAAAAAATAACTGACAAAGATACCATAAGAGAAAATGTGCATATAGTTTTTGAAAGACCACACAGCTATCACCCCCAAACTCAAGTCTATAAAACCAAACTCAGTCTTTTAATTCCAACAAATTCACCATCCATTAATCAAGTACTTAAAGCAAGGGCTAAAAACCTTAAGAGTCATCTTTACTCAGCCCCATTCTTTTTCCTTTCTACCTTGTCACCATATCCTAAATGCTCATTATTCAACTTCTCTTAACACTTGACTATTTTAGGCCAGCATCTATTTAAAAATCCTCATTAATGTTACCTATATCAAATTAAAATAAAAAATTTAACTGAAAAAAATCCTCGTTAGTCTCTCTAATCTCTGATGTTTTTTAGATTTTTTTCTAAATAATGAAAAATAATTTTAAAGAGCCTGGTATCATGCTATAATTAATAGATCCAAAATTAAAAAATATTTCTAACTATGAAAGGAAATATAAAAATATTTTCTGAATTTTCTTGACATGCTGTTACATTGCTATTGCTTCTTTATTATGCTATTTTAGTTATTCTTTTTTTTTTATGATTTCTTATTTATTTATTTGACAGAGAATGAGAGAGCACAAGCAGGGGGAGTGGCAGAAGGAGAGGGAGAAGCAGGCTCCCCAACGAGCAAGGAGCCCCAGGCAGGGCTCGATCCCAGGATCCTGGGATCATGACCTGAGCCAAAGGCAGATGCTTAACTGAGCCACCCAGGCACCCCTCCTTTTTAGTTATTCTTAAAACCAGTACCAATGAGATGAATCCATAAACTTACTTGGAAGTTGTCAGCATTATGCTAATAACTGATGTAAGTATTCTTACACCCTATGGGGCATCTGGGTGGCTCAGCCAGTTAAGCGGCCGACTCCTGATTTCAGCTCAGGTCATGATCTCAGGGTCCTGGCATCAAGCCCTGCATCGAGCCCCATGTCAAGCCCTGTGCTCAGCATAGAGTCTACTTGAGATTCTTCCCCCTCCTTCTACCCCTCACCCTGCTTGTGTGCTCTTTAAATCTTTAACAAAAAGTGTTCATATACACTATACAGAAGAAAAAGAATTGTAGATCAGATATTCTGAGGCACAGGTCTTAGAACACCTACTTAATAATGCTCAAAAATAAAAAGCAACATAGTTGTAACTTGGTAATATCTGAAAATTAGCATGCTTCCAAACATATTAGGATTTAAGCTGGTTTTCAAACACAATATAATACTTCTTAAATTATGCAAACTTAATTATATACCTTGTGCTTTCCTTGGAGATTCATAGCTAGGCATAAGTTACATTTCAAACAATGGAAAAAGTCTTCCTTTGGACCAATCCTAAAAATATATGTGAAAGCCAAAAAATTAGGTTCATTTTTACTACAATGGTAATTTACTCATTTTTATGTTAAGGTTAGTTTCACTGTAAAGTTAGTTCAAATCACAATGAAGAACATGGGGTAAACTCCCACCTCCCCAATGTCACTCCCCAAATGTAAGCACTATGAACAAAATGGTATCTATCCAGGTTTTTTCTATAAAAGTATATACACAACACATACACACACACACACATCCCCTTTGGGTTTTATTTTTTACATAAATGGATTCTTTCTATATATCCTGCTCTGTGACTTTTTTCCACTGAACAACATATCCTGAAGATCATTCTGTCTATACAGAACCACTTCATTCTTCTTCATAATTACATATTACATGGTATGGTCAGATCATAATTTTTAAAAGTATTCCCATATATAATTTACTACCTTGAGTTAATACAATGATATAAAATAAATATGCTTATACAGGGACGCCTGGGTGGCTCAGTCAGTTAAGCGTCTGCCTTCAGCTCAGGTCATGATCCCAGGGTCCTGGGACTGAGTCCCGCGTCAGGCTCCCTGCTCAGCGGGGAGCCTGCTTCTCCCTCTCCCTTGGCCCCTGCTTGTGCACACTCTCTCTCTCTCTCTCTGACAAATAAAAATAAAATCAATCAATCAATATGCTTATACAGACAACACTTAGCCCATCTGTTGATAATTTTTATAAGATTCCTAAAACTGAAACTGATGGGATCAGAGGGTATTACACATCACTGGCTTTGATACTAGCAAACTGACCTCCAAAAAGACAATACTAAATTATGCTCCCACTAACAATGTGTGACAACACCTGTGTTCCCCACACTGTAGTGAACACTGGTTACCTAGATGATAGACAAATAAAAGATGTCATTTTAACTTGCATTTCTCAGGTTATGAGACAGGAAATATATTTTAATGTTTATGAACCATATGGATTTCTACTGTGGATTGTTCATGTATGCTCTGTTCACTCTAGGGTATCTGTCTTTTATCATTTTAAAATAACTGTTTATATATCCTGAATATTAATCTTTTTCATTTGTATATTTACCATATCCTTGTATGTCACATCTTTCTTGATTTATATATTTTGTCGTACAGCCATTTTAATTCCTATGTACTAAAAGCCATTGATATTTTCCTTTATGGCTTATGCTTCTGCCTCTTGTTTAGGAAAGACTTTCGAAACCTATAGGTTATAAATATATATATACCTCTAATGCTTATGATTTTTAATTTTTATATTTTTCTTTCATCCATTTGAAATGTATTATGCATGATAAAGATAAGATAGCTAGTTGTTCCCAAATTTTTATTATCCCTTTCTTTCACCACAACAAAACACTTAGCTAGGCACAAGGGTGTCCTGAATAAAGACTATTTGCAACTTCTCTGGAAGTTGTGAACAAAAGAGATGGCGAAAATTTTGTGTTGTGCCCTTAAAAAGGAAAGCTCAACAAACCCTAAACACAAGCAATATGAAAAAAACTCTATCATGGAACGTCATAATCAAACTGCTCAAAACCAAAGATAAAGAGAAAATCTTAAAAGCAGCCAGAAAAAAAAAAAAAAAAGGCCTGTACAGAGGAACAAAGATAAGGATGACACCAGACTCCTTACTACAAACAATACATAATATATTGTACAGAATACAGTAGAGGCACATCTTTAAAGTATTGAAAGAAAAAACTGTAAGCTTAGAATTCTGTATCCAACAAAATATCTTTCAAAAATGAAAGCAAAATAAAGATGCTTCTAACATACAAAAGCTAGAACGATTCATTACCAGGAGATTCTGTTTAAACAAAAACAGTCAATTTGGCATCAGTACTTGGAAGTCACAGTTAGAGGTGATCTGGCAGGCTCTGCAGCTCTCAAACTTCACCCCAACACACAGTAAATCCTTTTACATCCTAACCCAGTTCTCCCTTCCCCCTCACACATATATACACACACTCAAAATGCTAATAAAAGTTCCACATAACAATACTTATCCTTACCATGTATTTATCTATTTTTTAGTATTTTTTTAATGGTGGCAGGACTCACTAGATTCGCTTCAGTTTAAAATTCACTACTCTATATAATATATCCTCTTTACTTCCATCCTCAATTCCAGTCTCTACCTCCACCTCCACTGTCCCTCACTCAGTTCTTTTACTGCCTTCTCTCAGGCTTGGTTATTTATTTATACCCAGGCCCATTCTGATCTATTCAATAGCCTTGGCCTATCTCTGTTAAAACTTTACTCAAACTTTCCTAAAATTAAGACCACTCTAATCGGTATAATCTGACAAACTCTATAGTAGTGACTGCTTATTAAGCCTATTCTTGCACAAACCGAATATAAATTTAAGAACCAGAATCATGCCTTCTATCCACTCGTGCTCAACACATACCAAAGACTTCTCTGATGCTTATTTAATAACTTGCAGAAATGTGAAAACACATCCTTCCCTTAAAGTATCATTTTATCAGATGTTTTATTTCCCCACTGTAGTTACAAATTTATGTAACTTTTTCAATTTTAAAAGTAATACTCATTCTTTATTTAAAATGTGTAAAACCAGGGCACCAGGGTGACTCAGTTAAGTGTCTGCCTTCAGCTCAGGCCATGATCCCAGGATCCTGGGATCAAGCCCCACATGGGGCTCCCTGCTCAGAGGAGAGTCTGCTTCTCCCTCCCCACCACTCATGCAGCGTGTGCGCTCTCTCTCCCAAATAAGACCTTTAAAAAAAAAAATGTGTAAAACCCAGAAGAACATGAACCAACAACTATCAAATTTAATCACTGATCCCACCATTCATGGGTAACTACTGCTACCCTTTTGGTATGTATGATATCCTGACAGACATTTTGTACCAATCATTCTCCCAATCCCTAAATATTATTCAAGAACTTACTTTTCATATGGGTTTGTAAATTTAACAATCTTCCAAGATACAGGCTGGTTCTCATTTTTCATTATTATATTTTTGTTATATCAGTACAAGACATAAGATATATTCTACACATAATTCTTGGTACATATCTCTACTTCCTTGGGATAATCTAAAAATGGAATTATACAAAAGGCTGAAACATTTTTTAAGATCAGAAATCAGAACACCAAAACCACATCTGCCATATCATACTCTCTTAAGTATCCTGGTGCTTATTTTGTAACAATAAGAAATTACATTTCCCCATTTAAAAAAGAAAAAAAGCTCATTCCAGTACATTTCAGTAAGGATATATGTACCCACTGCCAAAAAATTCAGTGTCTGCCTGAACACTGTCTGCCTCTAATTAAAGAAAAACTGAAACCCTATCTTTAGGGCACATCACACTTGGAGAAATTACTGCCATAGTCAAAAGATTATCTAACTATCATGGAACTATTTTAAAATATAAAATCAGGAATAACATATTACTAAACTCTGTAAGAAGCACTGATTTCCTTATAGTGATTACTGCCTAAAGACAACAATTTTCAAGCCCAGAGACCAGAGTCAAGCTTAGAGATGTTTTAAGTACCAAGCACCAGTAGGAGAAATCTGATCACCTTTACCTTGCAGATTTGTTTAATGGACTAAAAGCAATAACTAAGTTTCATAATATGCTTAAGACAAAAAACCTGTCTTTAATATCCAAAAAAGGACTCACTGTAAAAGAGTATCAAAGGTTAACTGCAAAATAAGAAGACTGATATTTTAGCAAAAATATAGTAATTCATGCATTCAAATGACGATTTTTTAAAATGTCATCATGACAGGGTAAAGAGTTTCCAACAACACTGCCATTGCAAAAACATTTTTTAACTCTTTTGATATTTTTATTGTTTAAAAAAATTGTCATTATCTGATGGCCATGTCATTTTTTTTTTTTAAGATTTATTTATTTGACAGAGAGAGAGAGAGAACACAAGTAGGCAGAGTGGCAGGCAGAGGGAAAGGGAGAAGCAGGCTCTCCGCTGAGGAAGGAAGCCGGATGTGGGGCTCGATCCGAAGACCCCAGGATCATGACCTGAGCCGAAGGCAGCCGCTTAACCGACTGAGCCACCCAGGCGCCCCTGGCCATGTCATTTCTGACTAAATACAGTATTTGCCAATCTTATTTAACAGATTTTGCTCCCAATATCTTTTTCTTTTTTGGAGTGGGAGGGGGAACTGGAGAGTGGCAGAGGGAGAGAGAGAATCTTAAGACGGCTCCACACCCAGCATGGAGACTGACTCAAGGCTTGATCTCACAGCCCTGAGCTGAAATCAAGAGGTGGATGCTTGGGGTGCCTGGGTGGCTCAGATGGTTGAGCATCTGCCTTCAGCTCAGGTCATGATCCCAGGGTCCTGAGATTGAGCCCTGCATCAGGCTCCCTGCTTGGCAGGGAGCTTGCTTCTCCCTCTCCCTCTACTGTTCCCCCTGCTTGTGCTCCCTCGCTCTCTGTCAAATAAATAAATAAAATCTTAAAAAAAAAAAAGAGGTGGATGCTTAACCGACTGAGCCATCCAGGCACCCCTACTCCCAATATCTTTTAGCAAGTTTTAAAAAAATAAAAATGAATACCTCTGAAAATCCCCAAGGGGAGTGAATTTTCAGTGTGCCATAGGCACTCTGAAGAACTGTAAAAAGGCATTCCAAAGATTTTTGAACAATGACAATAGACATAACGGCACCTAAAATACCTACCTGAAGTGATCATAATCATCTGTCTATAACACATACCCTAGATGAATGGCCTCACAAGAAAATGAATGAACAATGTATTTTTTTTAAGATTTACTTATTTTTATTTGAGAGAGAGAGAGTGAGAGAGCAAGCGAGTGTGGGGGGAGGTGCAGAGAGAGAGGGAGAAAGAGAATCTCCAGCAGACTCCCGCTGAGCATGGAGCCTGACGCAGGACTCAATCTACTGACCCTGAGATCATGACCTGAGCCAAAATCAAGAGTTGGATGTTCAACCAACTGAGCCACCCAAGTGCCCCTGAACAATGTATT